ATAAGGAGGGTAGATGTTAATAATCTCATTTTACAGCTGAAAAAGCTAAGGCTCAGAAAGCTAATTAACATGTCTAAGATCCATGGCTGGTAAATAGAGGATGGGTTAATCCAAATTCATTACCAGACAAAAAATAGCTCAGATTCTTAAGGTTGGAAGAGCCCTGGCACATCATCTGATCCAACTCCCTGGTCATCTAACCCCCAAAACATCATAAAGAAGGGGTGATGGAGCTGTGTTAGAATAAATCCAGGAGTTCCCTGCAACCCCAGCATCTTGGACATGGCCAAATGGAAGTTCTCTGGGCACTGAGTTAAACTCTTTGTGGCACATATCCACTAGCTCAGCCCTTTCCTTCTGAACACCCACCAAAGGCGTTGCTCCTTTTCCGCTGTCAACTCTGCTCTGCTGCCCCTGAGACAAGGCTGGCGTCCTGGGCTGAATGAAGGCCTCGCTTCCCCTCCCTTGCAGCACTCGGCAGACTGCAGGTGCCTGCTCAGCTAGGACACTGACTCACTCGGGACAGTGTGGCTGAGTTTCCAACTGCCTATGATGATCTATTTCCCAGTTAAAGCATATCAAAGGGGTAACATCCTCTGTTACTCTGTTTGCTCAGGGGAAAGTGGAGCATCTCAAAATAATCTCAGCCCTCCTCAGAAGTTCAAAGGGCTCTACTGACAAAACGTCACAGTTAAAATGTACTACAGGGCATAAAAGATATCTACATGAGTTGGGCCTAAAAAAAAGAGAGAAAGTGATTGCATCAGGCCTGGGAAGTAATGGTAACAACTGATCTCTCAATGGCCTTTAGGGACTGAAAAGGCCCTTTCATGTTTCTTTGCTTTCAGTTTTTGCAGGCCACCAATAAGGCAGGTTGGGGAGGAGTAAACTTTTTGTGTGTGACCAGGAATAACTGGAATCGGTCTCACAGCTGGTGAATGGCAGGACCAGGACTTGCCCCCAGGCCTTCTGGGTCTCAGGTCAGTAACTGTGCAGTGCATGGAGGCCAGAGCATGCCCTCTGGAGCCCCCTGGTGCTGAGAGCGCAAGGTATTCTGGCGCTTCAGCTCAGGCCTGAGGGCCAGCTGCTCCCCCGGGGATGGTGGCGGCACTTCTGAGCCTGGCGCTTTATTGTGTACTATCTTATCTCAATAGGAAAAGGCAATTCAGGGAAGAATTTCCTTGTCACGGTACTCCAGGCCTCCCATTGTCCAGCTTTCTCAGTCCGGGTTCATCCCCTGGGTCTCACCATTACTCATACCCATGGAGGCCCCTTATCAGAGCTGTCTAAGATCAGGGGCTATTTTTTTCTTAGTACCAGACAAAATGGAATCTGTTCACCCTTGTGGCCTGATAGAATACCACAATTAGCCAGCGGCTCTGAACACAGCCACACTGGGAAGCTGCTTGAAAAGCAGTCTGTCGTAGTCCAGTAAGAGTCCTCTGCTGACAAGTGTAATGGAGAGCCATCTCATGGTGGAGCTGATTATGAAAGGCTTTACCTGTACTTTCCCAAATTTTTACTCTGAAAAACTTCAAACCTACAGAAAAGTTGAAAGACTAATACAATGTACATGCATACTATTCACCTAGATTCACCATTTGTTCTCATTTTCTCACATTTGATTTATCCTTTCTCTCCATATACCTGAAAAATATATACTTTTTTTTCTGTCAAACCATTTAAAAGTTGCCAAATCATGATCCTTCTCTCCTAAACAGTTTGGTATGTATATTCTAAGAACAGGGCACTCTCCTATAAAGCCATAATACTATAATCACTCTCATGAAAAAGAAGTGTTAGCTAATATATTGTACATATTCAAATTTCCTCAACTGTCCCAATAATTTTATATAGCTTTCCATCCCTCCTTTTAGAGCCCTTTAAACTAGTAGTTCTCTTGTCTTTTGTTTTTCTTTTGGCCTTCATAACATTGGCATTTAAAAAAAAACACAAGGTAGTTTTGTAGAATGCCCCACAATTTGGATTTGTCTGATTGGTTCCTCAAAAATAGATTCCAGTTCAAATATTCTGCAAGAATATTTCCTAAGTGATGATGCATCTTGCTGAGAATACAGAGGCACATGATGTCAATTTGTCCCATTTTGGTGATATGAATTTGATCACCTGGTTTAAGTTATATCCTTCAGATTTCACCATTGCAAAGAAACCCATTTGTAATTAATAAGGTAATATGTGGGGTGATACTTTGAGACCTTATGAATGTCCTATTTCCTATGAATAACTTTCCACCCAATGCTTTTAGCAACTATTGCGGCCCTTGCTTGTCAATTATTATGGTGGATCACTTTGTCTTTATATAATTTAAAAAGAAATACATACTCATAGTAAAGGTATAAAATACTGAAAAATATAAAGGAACTATAATTTTTACATACACACAGAGAGCAAGATAAAAATATATGCACAATGCACATCATAGTTACTTATGAATTTCCCTTAATGTTTATATGCGGATTTTGTTCGCAGGACCATATATGTCCACTCTTTAGTTGGACATTTTGTAACATCCTTTAGTTTACTTTGTCTAATTATATAATAAATACATGCTATTTTAAAAAGCTTATATAAAGCGCCAAAAACATAAAATTTAAAAACATATCCATGACAAAGCTAATTATATGTTTTCTTTTTCATATGCCTCTTTTCTTATTCATACTAAGAACCCTAAAAAAAAAACTGTCCTCTAATTCCTGCCCTGCTTTAAAACAGCAACTTGGCTGTTTTATTTTCCCAGGGGCTCTCTCCTGCCAATTGTCTCTGGTTTGGGACTAGTTGCCATCTGTCTCCCATTACCTTGCTCTGGTCTTGGTAGGCATAACTGGCAATGAGCTGGAACTATAACAGCTTCTTGAGCCAAGAAGTTTCTCTTAAAACAAAGGTGTTTATACTACAAACTCTAAAGGGAAGGGAACTTAGGGAGACATGTTTTTTAATTGGGGGATGTATTGAACTGCTTCCACAATCAAGAAACCCATACCACAGGAATCCACATGATTACTTCATAAGGGAAAGTCTAAAAGTGACTTATAGGATTCTTCTGATCTTATTATAAACAATGTCTTAAAGAGAATTGCTAATAGTGGGTGTTCTACTTTTTTAAATTGGTATTATCTTCTGTAAAAATTTTTTTTTACCATGTTAGAACTGGGAATTCATGTTGTGAGAATGAACAAACCACTCAGGCACTGAACGAGATGATTTCAAGGTAATTCAAGTCTGTTCTTCAGTTTATGGTTTGATGATCTTTTACGTTTACAGTAGTTTTGGGGCTTCCTTCCTCCCTTCCTCCCTCCCTCTCTTCCTTCCTGGTTTGGGAGTAGTTGCCATCTGTCTCCCATTACCTAGCTCTGGTCTTGGAAGGCAGGCCTACCTGCCTGCCTGCCTTTCTCCCTTCCCTCCCCCTCCCTCTCTCCCTCCCTCCCTCCTCTCTCTCTCTCCCCCTCCCCCTCTCTCCCTCCCTCCCTCCCTTCCTTCCTTCCTTCCCTCCCTCCCTCTCTTTCTTTTTTTGCCATCTTAAATAGTTTTAGGAGAACATCTCATACAAGTAAACCAGTTTTTAAAGTAATTTCCTTAAGTAATTTCTCAAAGAGTGGTCCTGGATCATTTCATTAGTAACAGAATCGTATGAGTGTGTTGAAGATTCCCAGGCCCGGCCGTGGGTTTAGAAAATCCCTCAGCCTTGCACTGGAGATGCTCCAAGTGCTAAACTAAGACACCTGCAGGAAGAGAGGGAAAAGGATAAAGGGAAAGGTCAAGTCCAGAACATAGGAGTTAGAACTTGCGAGGCTGCCCTGGGGAAAGATGTGAGTTGGGTCCGGCTGGACTAACAGGCTGGAAGCTAGTTTAGGAGTAACGGTGCGGCCAAAGGGGCCCGGCGTGAAGGATTCCACCACAACCTGCAGGATGCGGATAGGTCTGAACACAGTTCCCCTACCCGGGTCTCAGGACACCAGGCGCTGGCCTAGCTACTGTGCCTCGTTAGCCTGTTCTAACTGGAACTGCAGATAATCCATTTCTGAGAAAAAAGGTATAATCTTAGAACTTTATAGTTAGGTAGTATGTTTGAAATCACACCTAATGGAGAAGACTACTAGAACAAGCCAGTTAAAATTGGTCGCCTCAAAAAAACAAACCTGACTTCCTCAGAACAGGGCTGTTGGGGGCACAAGGAAGAGCAGGGCTCTTTTGGTACAATCTGATTCTTAAAAAAAAAAAAATCATATTCCTGTACCATCTTTACTTCAAAAACCATAAAATGTATTTAAACACAGAGAATGATTTGCAATACACCATATAAAGGATGTTCAGCCGATTCAAAATACGTTAAGAACAGTAAAATAACATTGGAATTATCCCCTTAAAAATCAGCGCCGCGCAACGTACACGAGAAGCTGCTCCAGATAGTCCTCCAGCCGCGGGGGCGCCTGCGCCAAGCCAGGAACTCCCGAGGGGCAGCGCGCGCGGCCGCGGCGGCGCTGCACTCGTGAGATTCGCGAGGCGGCAGCTCCGTAGTGCGCACGCGCCAATCTCACGTTTCCTCTCTTACCGGAAGTCCTCGGGCAGTGGTTAAATGCCTCCCCCACCCCCGCTAGGGCTCGCGCGTGTGGCAGCTTTTTCGAGAAAGAGGTCAGGTCGTCGCAAACCAGGACTCAATTCTGACGGTGCCTCCAAACCCCTTCGCAATTCGAGGAGACTACTTACTGCCCCATCAAGAGGTCGTAGGTGAACCCAAAGCATGTTGAAGAGGGGGCAGTTGCCTCCGACCCCGGATAGGGATTAAGCCCCGCAGCAATCATCGTTACAGACCACGAGGACCAGGAAGACAAGATCCGGCCCTCTGCTGCCAATACCGGCAGCTGTGGAAATTTTCCAACGGAATGGGGAAGGTACGCTGAGTTCTCCAAGAGACAGACCAAGTTAACTTGAAGTTAATCTGAAGGCATTAAACGTTCTGTAGATAAAAAAAAAAAATCATATTCCTGTACCATCTTTACTTCAAAAACCATAAAATGTATTTAAACACAGAGAATGATTTGCAATACACCATATAAAGGATGTTCAGCCGATTCAAAATACGTTAAGAACAGTAAAATAACATTGGAATTATCCCCTTAAAAATCAGCGCCGCGCAACGTACACGAGAAGCTGCTCCAGATAGTCCTCCAGCCGCGGGGGCGCCTGCGCCAAGCCAGGAACTCCCGAGGGGCAGCGCGCGCGGCCGCGGCGGCGCTGCACTCGTGAGATTCGCGAGGCGGCAGCTCCGTAGTGCGCACGCGCCAATCTCACGTTTCCTCTCTTACCGGAAGTCCTCGGGCAGTGGTTAAATGCCTCCCCCACCCCCGCTAGGGCTCGCGCGTGTGGCAGCTTTTTCGAGAAAGAGGTCAGGTCGTCGCAAACCAGGACTCAATTCTGACGGTGCCTCCAAACCCCTTCGCAATTCGAGGAGACTACTTACTGCCCCATCAAGAGGTCGTAGGTGAACCCAAAGCATGTTGAAGAGGGGGCAGTTGCCTCCGACCCCGGATAGGGATTAAGCCCCGCAGCAATCATCGTTACAGACCACGAGGACCAGGAAGACAAGATCCGGCCCTCTGCTGCCAATACCGGCAGCTGTGGAAATTTTCCAACGGAATGGGGAAGGTACGCTGAGTTCTCCAAGAGACAGACCAAGTTAACTTGAAGTTAATCTGAAGGCATTAAACGTTCTGTAGAATGAAGCATCGGCCCCTCCAAGAAACAGTCCTGGATGCCTGGTGCCTTGTTTGGCTGTAAGAGTTTGGTAAAGAAAAAGTAAATCAGTTGTTCCCTAAATCATTTGATTTAGCATCATTTTTTTCTCTCTCTTCCGTAAAACCGTCCCTCTCACCTGATGGGATGACTTTTGGGATAGTGCCACACACTCACGTTCTTAAAACTTCTTCAGATCTTCAGCTTCTATCAAATCTTGGGTTGGCTTAAGGTAGTCTCTCCCCTGCCAAAGCATGGACCTGAATTTAAGAGGAAAAAACAAGTCGACAAGAATAGAGCAATGTCCACATAGCCATAAAATGTGGCAGATGATCAAGAAGGCACAGAAAAAGGGGAGAGGATCTAGGAAGTGTTTCAAAGTTAGTCTTGAGACACTCCTAAAACATCTCTGTCCTTCTTTTCCTTAATGATTGATAAATTGTTTTTCCTGCACTGGGGAAAATATCTTTTATATATTCTTCAATATGAGAGGTTTAGCAAGCATGAGGCTTAAATAAACAGTCAATAAGAGAGGCTCTCGGCATTAATAAAGTGAATGAAATGACCAGAATGTCCAAGTTGGAAACAAAGTTGTTAACAGATTTTGGTTTTCAGTACTGGAAGGAATCTACATAACAGTAAAGACTGGGTTTGTCATAAAAGGCAAATTTTATTTTAAATGGATAGTAAAATCCAAACATGAGGTCTATTTAATTATATAATGAAACATTTTTTAAATATATGTGAAATTTGTCTAATATGTCTCTTGGCAGTTTATGTCAGTCTGTGGGAAACAAAAATTCACTGGCATATTCATAAATGGGAAAAAAGGAAAGAAAATTTGGCCTTTCAGTTTACAAATGAATAAACTGTGACCCAGAAAAGGAAATGACAAATATCACTCAGAATCAGACCTGGGAGCTGGAGCCCCACCATGTTCCTGGGTCCAGTGCCTCTCCTTACTCTGTAGGAGCTCATACCCTATTGTAGTAAACATGAGGTGAGTGATGAGAGATGATGTTCAAAAATCATACTAAAGTACTGGTGGGAGATCGGGATTGGTTCTTCAGGATCTAGCTAGGGTTTTAAGATAAGTGATCAGAGCTCTATACTATAGACTTCTTTGGGGGATAACATAGGTGGATTTTTTTTTTCAGAGGAACTTAAGCAGCGTCTAGATAATCACTTACTGGAGTTGTCAAGGGGATTCAGACCTCTGAAGTCCTTTGGTCACTAACTGCTTTGCAGCGCTTATGTGGCTAGGAAGTATTGGGAAGAAGGAAACTTATCCCTCTTCAGTGTGTACTTTGAGTCAGGTTATTGTGTTATGCATTTCATATATATTAATTCAGTTATTCTTCACAAGCTTTCTAGATAGGTATTCTCAGTTTACCTCAGGAGTTCCCAAAGGTTAAATAACATGCTCAGAGCCCTGCTGATAATAGGCAGCCAGCTGAGACTGTATTTACGTTATCTCTCATCTCCAGATGAGTGGGCAGAATGACTGCAGTTTGTTTCCCAGCTTCTCCCTGCCCTCCCCCACCCTGTAGGTAACTCCTTGTACTGCTCCCTGAGTCTTCAGGGCAAGTGATTCCCATTATCTTCCTGGTCTAACTGCTAGGGATGAAGCTGTAACGGAGGCCTGGGGCAGGGACACTCCTACTAGGAGAAAGGCAGTTTGGTTGGCACCTCTTCACAAAGGCTCAAGTCCCAGAGCTTTGCATAAGAGGCAGATGTTCATTGAACAATGAGGCCAAACTTGTTTCCAAAATTCTCAGTTAAATAGTCACTCTGGATGAAGAGACATGAGAGCCAGCATTAAGACAAACTTGCACCACAATGTTAGGAACTGGTTTATGAAGGAAGAGGCTGGAATGATGGGCTCTGGAGCTCAAGTAGTTCCTGTTATTCAAAGATCATTTGATAGTCTTGGGTGAATGGACATTTCCATCAGAATCCAAAGAATTTCTGGTGCGCCAGGGAGCAAGAGCCAGCCTCCCCTTGAGAGAGGGGAGACGTGCTTAAGGCAAACTCCAGAGAGATTATCCTATCCCCATGCCTTCTGCCTTTCTAAAGATGAGCCCTCCTCTTGCCCTGAGGTTAACCAGATTAAACATGTTTCCCATGTTCATATAGTATCCATGTGCACATTTCTGCTACCTGAAAAATTGTGGCCAAAGGGATGAAGAACTCACCAATCAGCTGTGGCCTGCTTGAGGCATGCCAGTCACCTTCCTACTCTGGAATCTTCCATGGCCACCAAATTAAGTACCAACTCCCTGGCCTCCACAGTCTGGCTCCTTTCTAGCCTCTTCAACCTTATACCACACCACCCATTTGGGCCACATGAGATTCCTCCTTCCTTCAGTAGATTCCAACCTTCCCTGCTTCCAATCCTCTGGATGGTTTAATCTGCTGGAATGCTCTCCCATCCCCCACATCCCCACCCCAGTTCAAATCTTCATCTTCTGTATAGCCTCAGTGGTCAAGATCATAAAGCAAAACTGACTTTACCAAACTCCATTGCAAGACACCCAGAGATCAAAGCAGTTGGATAAATAGGGGCTTTTAGTTCATTTCTGGCTCAGGGATCACATGGGATTAAGATCTCTGCAGAGATCTGTGAAACTAACCTGTTTCCCTGAGGGACCGACCCCATGCTTCATGCTGCAGGGACTTGCACTATCCATTAGGAGACACTGGGCAGCTGCAGCTGAGTCACACAGGCTGCCAGGGTCCATCCAGGAACACAGCTCTATTTCTTAGCATTTGTCTCAGTTCCCTTTGTGGCCAACTTCTGTGGCTGTCTTGGGATTCAGACACATTTCTGCTTCACAATGAGATGTTATAGTTCACTCCATCAGGATTTATCTACTCCAGTGTTTCTCCCACCCTGCCCCTCTCCCATGATCATAGTGTCAAAATAATCCTAAAATGGGATTGCTATTTTTGAATTTAACACTTCCTGCCATGTCTCTTGCTTTCAGTTACCTCCTGAAGCAGACAGTCCCATTCACCTGCAAACCCTGCCCGAGTACAAACATTGCCAGGTTGGCATATGTCCTGGTTCCTAGAGCAGTTTGCTTGGCTTGCCTTTGCAGTACAAGTGATCTCACAAATACTTGATTGATCCAGCAGTCCTATTTCTAACTTCCAGCAGGAAACTCAAGTGGGTGACTGGAGGGCAGGAGGCAGGTCCCATCAGTGATTGTGTCCCAGACCCCAAGCACATGGGCCCACCCCTCTCATCTCCTGGACTTAACCAGGTCTTGCAGAATGGGGCTCTTCTGAGATCCAAACATACAACTATTTGTTAGATGGATTTTTTTGTGGCACTCTGCAGATATTCAGAGTACGGCTGGATCTAAAGGGAAAGGAAAAAGAGAGTCCAATGTCCATTACATGAAGGTTTAAGTTTCAAAATAAGAGTGGTCAAACTTATAATCTTCAGAAAAACCTCTAGGCATGTCCAGGTCTGTTCATAGGACCCAAAGCTTTAACTCCATTCTGAGCCATTATGCAGACCAGCCAAGCGCAGTAACAGCTCCTGGTTCTTCACTTTCACAGGCAGCCTCTGCAGATGCCTAGATTTCTGCCACGGGTGTTATTGGAGGTTGATCCCTGTTCAGTTTCTGACAAGTACTTGACCTTGGGCTCAGAACTGTGATAGGCTGGCTTCAGAAGGTATTACTCATCAGAGGTCAAGTCCATTGGCCTCATAGAGCACCTGTGCACCTGGGATCTGAGCAACTCCACGTTGTCTTTGTTCCCTTCAAGGTTTACATCTTCAGGGTCCCACTATGGAGAAAAAACAGACAGCATCTTGGTGGAACAGACACTTCCCATCTCTTATAATCCTCCACCCAAGGGACAGCTCCAGTCCTGGTTCTCTGATCCAGGGACAGACAAGGAGAAACAGATAAAGACAGGTTAACTAGGCTTGTGTTTCTGGGACCTAACAGGACAAATATAACTTTAAATCAAGGAACTTATGGACAACCACCCTGAACAGTCGGGTCCCACTTCCCTTCCCACCCTCTTTTTCCCTGTCTTCACTCAAGTGAAATTAATTCAGGTTCCTTTTATCCTGAGAATTCCCACCTCCAGGCCTAACTCATTCCTGGAAATGATGGAACAAACTCAACTCATTCTTTATGGCCCAAATAAATACCACCTCTTCCAGGAAGTCTATATGACTGTTTTGCCCATTGAGCACTCATACCACTTGTTTGCAGCTGAGTGACAAACCTGTCCTTTCTCTGGGCACCACCTTTTCCTCTCAGGTGGACGGCAAGCTTCTTAAGAGCAGGACACTACTCTGCCCTTGCCCCCACCCCACCATGGTGTTTCCTCTCAACTTGAGTCTTGAGTCTCAGAAGATTTGTAAAAACCAAATACTGTCTCAAAACTTAATTCAGAGTGGTGGTCACTGACAGCAAATATTTCATCATTCTGATTCACATAAGTACGGGATATTGAAATTTGCCAGGGTAGAACTAAAAGGTTAAAAAGAAGTTGGTCACCGAAGTACTGATGAAGCTGTTTGACAGTCCTCCTATTCTAATATGATGGATGAAAAAGGAAGCTTTGCATATGGGCCAAGAGCAAGATAATCTTTAGTTGATTCCAGCCACACTGGCAAGCAAGGTTTGGTCTCAAGTCACTAACTTGGTTCTCCTCCTTTGGGCCTCGATTTTTCCCTGTGATAAGTTGGGATGTTGGATCAGCAACTAGATAGTATGATCTCTTTCATTTCTGAGTTTCTATGACCGATGATTCTGAGTCACGAACACCCAGGAAACAACAGAGCAAAAAAATGTGTCAGCCCAAGTGAGATAATCTATTTGGGCAAGAAAACAGCACCAGGCATGGACATGCACTCCAAGAAAAATGCTCTACCAGCTGCTCAAAGTTAAGCTGAATCAAACAGTCCAGTCCTTAGAGATCCTGAATAAGGTCTTCAAGGCTTCCTGAGCCACTGCCAATGATAAATGCTCACACTGTGCCAATTATAAAATACAAATTGTGGCTTCATTTTGAACAGAAAGAAAGATGCCCAGTTCCACTGGTGTTTACTGATAACTAAACTGAATTCTACTATCTGGAGCTTAAAAACACCATCATTTGAAAGACCACCTCATCCCTGGTAATCCTGCAGGCCAGAGACTAAGCTGATGTTGGTATCACTCAGCTCCCTGTACCTGTGGGGTTATGCCAGCCACTTTCAGTGGTTACTTCTCATTTACTTGTGGTTGCAGACTTGGAGGGGAGGGGGATACCCTCTAAGCAAATTCCTTCCTGACATTATCAAAGATCCCAAGTAAAAGAGCTCCCTGTCCCCTCAGCCTCTAAGGCCCAATTGCCTAGCAGTGGCAATAGGCACCTGTCCTGTTTTCTGAAGATGGACAGATGTGTTTTGAAGAATGCTGTTTTGAAGCTGAGGTCTGTGTTCTAGATAACTGTTTGCAGGGTGTGCTCTGGACCAGCCTCCCAGAAGTGCCCAGGGTGCTCACTAAAAAGGCTGACACCAGGGTTCCACCCTAGGCCCTATCTGTGAGCTGGGTCCTAAGGTTTGGCATTTTAACAAGTTCCTAGGGTGATTCTTATTCGCTCTGAGGTTTCAGAACTACTGTTCCAACTCCTGAAATGGCTTAAGAGTTATTCTTGCTACTACTGGCCAATTCAGCTGCCGGCAAAAAGAAATAGCCTTTGATCAAGTGTACTCTTTGAAGTGGGTTAAGCCTTTGAAAATATCTTAAATCTCTTTCCCCTGAATCCCCAGAATAATGTGTTTTAAAACTTCATTTTAAGTAATAAAAACATTGCTGGAATCCAGACATAAAGAGAGTTTGTGCAAAAGATGATCTACTTTCTTATCAGAAACAATCTTGGGAGGCAACAGGCACATGTGGTTGCCATAAAACATCTGCTTATCTGTCCCTTGGAGGTAAGGGTAGCATGGAGACAGCAGGCAGCTGCCCAAGGTCTCAGAATGACAGTGTGGGGCAATGTTTATCGCAGCTACAGCAGCCGCTCCCAGTGCCTCTACCATTAGTAACCTGCAGGTGTTCTGCTTGTTCATAGACCATTGTTCTAAACCATGTTTCTTCCTTGGGTTATATATTCTCTGAGTCCCTACCAGATGTTCTGGGCAAAGCAGAAAGAACTGTGAACTGAGAGTTCAAAAGATTTTCTGATCCATAGACTTGCCTCTCTTTTTCACATTCTAAAGGAATTTGGCATGGGCCCAGCCATCCATGGGGGGGGCTATGAGAAACAGGAACTGAAATCAAGGCACGGGAAGTCCCTTTTGGAGTAGAGAGCATGATTGTCCATACCTGCTCCGAGTTTAGGGCTTCCCAATACTTCTGCTGTAGAATAAAAAGAGATAGAAAAAAGCGTTGGATAGATTTGGAACTATTATGGAGCAGAGCAGAGCTCAGAGCCAGCCCACCTGCTCAGTCGCCAGGAGGCAGGCCTCCCTGACAGTCTGGGGGCAGATGAACAGCAGACTTCAGCAAGCAGAAAGGCAACAGCTTCTAGCAGCTACTTAGTTAAATGATCAGTAGGATAATTGTGGTAATTATGAAGGTTCTTGGAAAACTTACATAATCTATGGTGATTTTTAAATTATTAGAAATTAGTACTAGACATAATAATAATAATAAATCTTCCATTTGTTAACCACATGGTTAAGAGGAGTCAACTCAAACCCATATAACTAAGAGAGAGAGATGCAAATAAAATCCCCACGTTGAAAATATGGGCTATTTGCTACCAGTCAAGATTAATTTTTAATCAGCCTGTATTGCATGGCTGGTGCCACCCCAAGACTCAACTATGTCTGACTCAGGATCTTGAAGGGCAACCCTTGTTCCTCCAGAAGGGCAACGCTTATTCCTCTGGCACCTCATGCAGTGCGTAGGAGATGTTTGTTTCTGTCACAGAGCTATGAATCTACAGATATCTGTTACGTTGATCTGTGTGTGTCTGTTAAACTGAACAGCTGCCTATATGAACAGTCCACAGGATTTGGTGTTTTTGTCACATTAAAATAAAGCTTCTATTGTTCAATTCTTTTAAATTTCCATTTTAAGCAACTTTTCAATTAAGAGTTTCAATCACACACAGAGTAAAAGAAGACTCTAATAAGTACCTATAGATACACCCTGTTTTATTTGCTCTAGCTTCCCAATTCTTCTATTTTAAAGTAAATAATATCATCTGTAAATTCTTTAGTATGTATCTCATAGATGAAGACTTGTTTTTTAAGTCCTAAGCACAATGCCATTATTATACCTAACAAGATTAATCATAATTCCATATCTTTTAATGATATCCTGGTGGGGGAACATAAACAAAAAAGGTTAATTGAAGAAGATGTAAAATTACTAAAAATGATGGTTCTACACTCACTGCAAAGGACAGAAATGTTGATGACAATAAAGGTGTTGATAAAGTTAAATAGCTTTTACAAATGAAAATAAAGTGAGATACAAGAAAAAAATGTTAACTGTAACTTCTCTTTAGATAATATAGATATTCATGCAAAACAGAAACCATAATCTGTTGTTACCACAGTGAAGTGTTTTGTTTTTAAAAGTACTAAATGCAACTTGATACACTGTATTGTATCCTGGAACATGAGAACATCGGTGAAAAAACTGATGAAATCCAAATAAGGTCTGGTTGAGTTAACAGTAATGTACAAACATTAGTTTTTCAGTGTTGGCATGTGGCATTGTTGTGAGGTGCTTAGCACTAGGGGAAATTGGGTAAAGGCATACAGGAACTCTCTGTACTACCTTTGCAACCTGGCTGTAAATCTGAAATTACTCCAAATCATAAGGTTTATTGAACACCAAGCAACCAACCAAATAAACAGATTTAGAGTCCCACAGCTGGATTGAAATGAAACCCTGAATCTTCCTTTCCAAATCTTCAGTACCAGTCTAAAATTTAAGAAGAGTGCCCTCTAGTGGAGGTAGTAGTCAGGATTTCTTTTTAAGTTAGTTTCAAACCAATCGTAATGTGCTTAAGGAGTACAATTAACCCAAATCTTTGTAATGAAGTCTCTTCCCACCTCCCCCAAAGTAAAAATAAATAAATGTTATGGTATTTTTTTCCATTTTTCCATGTCTTCATTTTAATATAGAAAAGTTTCAAACAAAATAAAGATCACCCATAATTCTATCCCCAAGAGGGTCTCTATGAACAGCTATTGAAAAGCCCTCTGACACACAAACACACATATACAAAAAGACAAACCAAATTGTGCAAATGCTGTTTCTCCTTCAACATATATGAGAATTTCCACAAATCCTTCAATTGTCTTTAGGATCATGATTCCATCACTGCTGTGAAACACAGCGTGTAGTATTTCAATTCAGCTCATCTCTAAAAGCACATCTTTTTCATGTTTCTGAAATTGTTCTTAAGAAGCATCCTATAACCCATCTACAGGGCATGTGGCAACTTTTCCTTGTTCCTTAAGATGCTGATGTGTGTCTTAGCCATTGAGGGAAAAGGGTCACTTTCCAGGAATATATTTTAATTATGGGAGCTGGATGGGCACTCAGAGACCATATATCCCACTCCCTCATTTTACATTAGGGAGAAATGACTTCTCCCAGGGCTGAGAAGGTGAGATGGTGTTGCACTCAGGGCTAATTATAAAGTTGTTTGTTCTGATTACAAATCTTTAAGACTGGTCCAATACACACCAGCTACAGTTCTCCCCTAGACTCATTAAGTAGATTTCCGTTTGATCTGATACCTACAGACTTCTAAAAATTACACTGTATAATTCAAAATGTCATTCTTTCTCTTTCTTTTAGTTAGTTAATTAGGCAGGTCTATACCATTTGCTGCAGACCAACCACGGTTTCACCCCCGCATGCTTTCCTTCCTCCTCTCTAACTGCCTGAACTCCCAGAGCTGCTCTTCCTTCCTCAGCTGCTATGAGGAAATGGAACGTGAGATGGGAAAATACTTCCCAGGCCATGAACTGCTGTATGCAGAGCAGGGCTTTTGCGGCAGATGTTCCCCCTATTATTGTGGCTCTGGGTAGTTTAACTACTGAAACCTCTCTCCGTTCAGGTCTGAACAGGCTCATCATGAACTGTATCAGCAAAAGAAGAGCTCTGACCCACAGTGGGTTGGTTTCCTTTGTTAGCTTCATGTCAGAGACATCCCAAGGTTGGAACTAAAGGGCCAAGGCAGAGAAGCCATGTGTATTCAAACACTGGGCAGCAGGGGTTGGAAATAAGCACCTCTGAACTCCAGTCACAAGGAGATCAAATATAGTATTTAGGCCAATCCCAGTAGGACAATCCTTGACAACTTTGGCTCCTGTTCCTAAGAATAAGAATAATTATTATTTTTAATCATTTTTTCCAGTTTTATTGCTATATAATTGACATACAATATTACAAGATCCTGATTTTTTGGAATAAATTTTGCTGTTCAAATACTGCTCTGAAGAACTGAAGAAGAGGTTTAGTGAAGAGCTGGATCTGGGCAAAATCAAGCCTAATTCAGGAGCAGGGTTCCCAAATAAAACAGGATGCCCAGTGAAACCTGAATTTCAGATAGTTTATGTTTTAGTATAGGTAAAGTTTATCTGAAATTCAAATTTCACCGAATGTCCTGTACTTTTTACCTGCTAAATCTAACAACACTACTCAGGACCACAGGAAAGGCTTCCTGGAGGAAGTAGGATTTAGCTGGGGCCTTGAAGGCCTAGATAAGCACAGGAATCCAGAGAAGGGAAAGCTGGCTGGCTGTGCAGAGAAGAACCTGGAAGGCTGGTCCAGGGCCAGATGGTGAGGTGTGCTGGAGGTCAGGCTATGGGGTCTGGACTTAAACGGTGAGCGGTAAGGAGCCAGGGAAGGCCTTAGAGCTGGGAAGCCATGGGGCTGCGGCCCAGTGTTGGGAAGATCCCAAGTAGGACAGCAATGCCAGCAGGAGAGGTGGAGCAGGAGCCAGGCAGGAGTGCCTGTCCTGGTCCAGGCTGAAGTAATAAGGCTCTTCCCTGGATTTGCGGGCCAGAGGGAGTTTTGTGTGAGTGGACGCTCTGTGCTATCAAGGAACATTAACCTCTTTTGCTGGTGTTGACCCTTGTGTTTTTCTGACGGAAGCCTTTCTGCTTATAGAAACTGACTCAGTGTAATTAACCTCCACCCACCTCCTCCAACAATCCACCTTTCACTTAGGGTCACATTGCTAAGTGTGACCTTAGAGATCGTCCAGTCCAAAGGGGGGCTTTAAGTGAGCACTTATGGGGACAGTGTTCTACTGTATCAGAGCTCTTTCACACTCTCTCCTTGCTGACGGCTGACCACCCTCCCCGAGGCATTATCTCCACTTTCAGGGCAGGTCCTGGGAATGAATGGCTGTTGCCAGTTCCATGGCTGTAAGAGCTAGAGTGAGTATCCGAGCCCACTTCAAGCCCATTTTTTACTATGCCATGTATAGCACTCTGGTAGTTTGGCAGAGCTCCAGAAGCAGCCCCATTTGATCCTCACGGTCACTGTGATACAGGTAGGGCAGGTCTCAGATTCCCATTTAGAGGGAAAAACTAAAACTCAGCAAGCCCAGTGTGAGCCCAAGGCCACCTTGCAGACCAGCAAGAGCCCAGACAAGCCCCTGAGTTTCCCCGACTCCTGGGCCACTGCTCTTCCTCTGGCACAGCCCCATTTCCCTTTGGGGGCCAGGGGAGTCTCTTGCCTCACCCCCAGGGGAACCAGCTGCTTGCCCCACACATTTTGGGAGGCACTGTCTCTCACTCTCATGGCAGGCAGTGTCCCTCTCCACAGAGATGACATCTGTGGAGAGCAGAAAACACGTCCTGCATTTGATTTCTAGCCTTTTGGTATTGGAATGTTCTGGCCTCTTTTTCATATTTACATGAACTTTCTTCTAAAATTAGCACTTTTATATATAGTCTATACATTATAAAAATTTTTTTCTTATAAGAATGCCTTGGCTTTAAGAATGGCAAACATCCAGGGGCCTCTATCCTGGTCTGCTGGAGGCAGGGCTTGCAGAGGAACAAGCAGTCTTGGTTGTCAAGAGCCTTAGGCACAGAATTAGCAGGGACACACAGGGACTGGATCCTCTTCAGAAAGAGCAATCTGGCATTTGGCTCTGTTCCCATTCCCAATACACACACACATACACACACATGCACGCACACATATGCATGCACACGTGTGCACATGCACCAGCCCCAGTCACAGTCATTCTCCAACATACAGACTTTGTTCCAATGCAGAAACAGCCTCCTCGTAGAATTCCTACAAAGCTTCTTATTCCAGGTCTATGGCAATGCCAGGAAGCACAGAAGGAAAAATAACTAACCACTCTTTTATCACAAAGCTGGTCTCAATCTTTTCTTGCATCCCTGAGGCTAAAAAAAGAAAAAGTAAAAAAAGCCTGTAAAAGGGACAGGAACAGTTTCAACACTGGGGGACTGTCAACCCTGCACTCATAATAGAGGAGCCGGCTGCCCTGAAAGCCTGGCTCTGAGGACCACGGTCCCTTCCGCAGCCTGTGTTCAGTGTGCCCTTGGATGGCCAGGCCGGGAGTCAGGCTGCCTGTGCTGAACGGTTGAGTGATGGGCAGATAAGTGAGTGGAGTGTGCCACTCACTTGTGGAAATGTCCAGAAATCCACACAGCCCAAGCAAATGGTCTCTCCCCCGGGTCATGGGTCACAGTGAGGCTCCAATGTCATAAATCTGGTGCCCTGACCAAGTAGATCCTTGAGGAAAGGTGAAAATATTCCAAGTGCTCCCTCCTGTGTCTTTCTCACCCCTTCTGTTCTGCCATCATTGGATTTATTTGCAAATCTCAACATTTTACTCTATTAGACATGACTTTCCCTGGGAACTCAGAGCACAAGAGTGAAAGAGTCCTGGGGAGAGTCAGTTTTCTCATCTGTATAATGGGAATGACAGATGATAAACCCAGTCCTACATACTCCCTGGGTATGAGTCCCTGCAAAGGCAGTGGAGTAGAGCAGTTAACAACAGGGTTTCAGAGCCAGGCAGCTGGATCCAAATTCCAGGTCTGCCCTCTATTATATTATTATTAATGTTTTCTTGGGCAAGTTCCTTAAACTCGGAGTCCTAGAACTACAAGACACAGAAATGGCCCACACCAGCCTCAAAGACAAATTTCTGGATTTTCAAGGTCACTATTCAATCCAAGGGCAAACTGTGTTGCCCTGGTTTTCAGAGCAAATGTTGCTTTCCGATCTTGCCAGCCCCTCTCTGACTCACGGACTTAACCTTCCCTCTGCTCACCAAACACACTTTGCTATCACGCTCAGTCTCTCCCTTAGCCTTAGGTTTCTGCCAGGACTGCTGGCTCCAGTCTGTCCAGCTATGTGCCTTGGGTATCCTATAAATTCTGATGCTGGACCCACGAAAGAACATTAAATGACATGGAAAATGCATGAACCCCAAATGGCCCTTGGTCAGGTGCAGAATTCCTCACCCAAAACCCAGCTCTCACTGACCAGCTTGTTTCAGGATTGACTGATACAGAAAGATGAACGTGGCCCAGGTCCTACTCCTAAAAACTCATGCACAGCCCGGTGGGGGAGACAGGCTCCTACAGGTCACCAGACTACAGGGCAAACAATGGAATTCTCACTCAGGCACCCAAGGAAAGCAGCCATTAATCTGTGCGGTGTGTGTGTGTGTGTGTGTGTGTGTGTGTGTGTTGGAGGTAATTTCACATAGTGGGTGGCATCTGGGTGGGATTCTGACACATGGACACTGGACCAGAGGAAACCCCAGGAAGAAAGCCATGGGACAGAGGAACAGTCCTTGGCCCAGGAGGACACTTTGTTGAGAGAAAGGGAGGGGTACAAGGCTGGGGTGATTCTGAAAGGTCTGGAACCTCCACTAAGGAATGTGGATTTTATACCACAGACCAATGGCTCTGAATCTTTTGGATTGCAGGGTCCACTAAGAGTTCAACAAATTTGGGGCACTTAGGGTGGCTAGTTGATTATTTTACCAAATAAGGCCAGTAAAAGTAAAATAAAAAATTCAACACCAACTGTCACTTACTATTTTTGTCATTTTATAAGAGGGTGTTTTAACACCGAAATAGTAGCACACAAACCCAGAATGAAGGGCAGTCCTTCCATCTCCAAGAGACAGCTGACACCTCCCTGCTGACACCACACAGCCACTACACTGTCTTTGTTCTCATTTTCCATGAAGGGAAGCTTCCTTGGAGAAGAGGGCTGGGAACCACAGCTGTGGGACAGGCAGTAACAAGACAGCTCAGATCTGAGAATTAGACCTGATTGTGGTATCCGATATGTGGCATGTGTTTTGTTCAGATCCAAAAATTTTAAATGAGGTAAAGTTTATGAAAGCGCCAGGCCTGGTGCCCACCATGGGGTCCGTGAGAATGACCCTGATAGCACAGTCGGGGACAGCTGGTGCTCCTGTGGGGGAAGCAACGCTTCCATGGTCAAATGGGTTTGGGAAACACTGAGACATTTTAAAGTTAATTATTCATGCATTTATTTCTGTAAGACTTGAATGTGCAAGTGACTCTTCAAGACCATCCAGCAATCTGCAGTGTTTCCCTGACTAACTTAACAGTGGAAGCCGCTTCCTGTCACTGATACAGGGCGGGAAACACCTTGGGCAGGAGCCCTGCAGAGGTTGATTCATCATTTGCAGGCCTGAGGTTAGTGTGGGCAGATTAGAGAACAGCAGTGCAAGACCCAGCCCCGGCAAGTGCTGGTGATGGAGGACACCCATGCACCCAGCAGGAGAAACAGTGGGTACCTCAAGGTCAGAGTTGATGGAGGAGACCTCAGAGGAGCTGCTGGAAGACACGCAGGCCCGGATGACCTGAACCGGAGGGTACGAGGGCGGCTCCTGCAGGCATGCATCTCCAGCACTCCTCTGTCCGTCGCCAGGCAGCCTGGTGGCACTGCAGCCTGCCTGCAAGATGTGTGGGAAACAACAGGCAGGGAGATTCAATACACATCTTTATTTTTGAACTGTCAAAGCATTCACATATCCCAGTCTTCCAAAGGTACGAAAGGAGGCAATGTCTACCTCCACCCTTGTCCCCCACAATAAAAGAAATTTATCCTCCGGGTGCTTCAGTTCTCCCCAGACGCAGCCAGGGCTGTGTCTGGTGTATCCTGCCAGATATTCTATACACGTACAATCAAACGCATGTATATATTCCCCCCTTTCTGCAAATGACAGCACACTCTACACTCCTATTCATCTTGCTTTTCCCCCACTTAACAATATACTTAGAGATAGTCTGTAGCAAACGTTTTTTGCTTTTGTTTCTTTTGTAGTATTGTATAGGTGCTCACAATCTACTTAACCAGTCCTCTACTGATGGGCATTTAGGGTATTTACCATCTCTAGCTTTACAGTGGATACTGACTGCAGTAAATTATATTGTACATCCACGATTTCATGGTATTTAATGAATAAATCCCTGGAAGTGAGATTGCTGGATCAGGTGGTATGTGCATTTGTCACTCAGGTAGCTATTGCCAAAAATGTACCCACAGAGGCTCTTGTGGCTCATGGCCACCAAGCAGCAGATGAAAGTGAGTTGGAAGGTTAAAGGGAGCAAGACACAAGATTTCTATCATCTATCATCTACCTACCTACCTGCCTGTCTACCTGCCTACCTGCCAATCATCTCTCTCTTCCTATCTCAGAAGCAGGCTTCCTTCCTCTCCTCCTCTCAGAAGTGAGAGCTGGGTTTCAGAGCCAGGCAGAATTACAGCCATTCCACTGACACACCACAGGGGAATAGCCTGCCCTCTGGATTGGCATCTTTCACCAATTAACCATGTGATCTAGGCAAGAAATTTATCTTCCCCATGCCTCAGTTTCCTAATCTATAAAAAGGGATGTAATCCCTGCTTGCTCACTTTGAAGAGGTGTCATGGGGCTCAGATTTAAGTGCTCTGGACACATGAAAAGAATGGCTATTCATACTGTGGTACAGCACCCCAAATCATCGGGGCTCCAGCCCCGGATGGGTTAAATGCATAGTTTCATGTGAGAGTTGGCTGGACAGGCTGGAAAAGTCCACAAAGGAGACAAAGGCAGCTTGTCGGGGGGCCCCTGGGAGGGGTGGGGAATGTGGGGGAAGCAGAGGCCTCCCAGATAGATTCTATAAATTCCCTAGGCTTGACCACACCTGAGTCAGCATAGAGAAGGAGCTCTCAAATGCTCCAAGCCAAGGATCCCCATGACCCCATGGCCCTCAGCCCCTCAGCTCAGGCTGAACTGGGCGGCATCGCTTGGAAGGTCTCTCCTCAGGCCCAGTGCTCAGGAGGGATGGCTGAGAAGACAAGTGAGCAGCCCTGTGATTCTTCTCACCCACCTCCAAGTAGCTGTCCAAACAGGACACGTATTCAGTGCACATGGCAACAGGGTACCTGTTTCACCACAGCCTTGCCCACTGAGACATTCCCATGAAAAAAAGAAAAAATTTGTGAACAGAGCAGGCATGAAACGTGGCACAGAGAACATATTCTTTTCATAAAAGCTCAGGTCCCAGAATCAGACAGGCTTAGTTTGAAACCTCTTTCTGTGATTTTCTAACTATGGGATCTTGGAAAAGTTACTTAACCCTCTCTGGGCCATAATGTAAAAAATAATACAATTTTAAATTATTAATAAATAATAACAGTATCTACCTCAAAGGGTTGTTAGGAGAATTTGTGTTAATAATAATTTTAAAAAACAGCCATTTATCAAGTGCTGCTTGGTGTCAGGCAGTAAGTATGCCAAGTGAGAAGCAATATCACATAGTAGTCAAGGGCACACACTGAGGTGGACAGGTCTGAGTCCTGGTTCTACCACTGACAAACTGTGTGGCCTTGAGCAAGTTACTTAACCTCTCTGTGCCTGTTTTCCTTATCTGTAAAATGAGCATAATAGGTCAGGGGCCGGCTGTGAGGCTAAAATGAGTTAATCTCTGTAGAGTACCTAGACCAGTACTCTAAGTGCCACACCACAATGAATACGGTAAGAAGCATGGACAGGCTGGCTGTTATTACTTACTCAGCACCTGGCAAGCAGCTGGCCCTTAATAAACAGACTACACTGGGAATGGCAGCCCTAGAGTCCTCGGGGGTGGCTACCTGCAGGGGCTGAACGGTGGGATTCCAGGCTCCCTGCTGGGAACTGTTCCCTGAGACACCTTTCGCCCTCTGGTGGACACAGAAGGAAGGGGCCAAGTAGGAGTATTTGCTCAAAAGAAGAAAGGACACACTCTTCTCTCATGACATCTGTTTGCAGCAGGAATCCACTCTAGATTCAGGTACTAGGAGGGTTAAAGTGAATGCAACTTTTGCACTATTGCTGTTCAGAAATCCCATGATTTAAAATTTTCTAGTGCAAAACTTTGGCCAAATACTGCCAGGGTACCCTGTGTTTTCCTCAAGGCCATCCATCCCCACTCCCCATCATCCCATTGGAAGAAGGGTTTAGTGGCCAAACCCGGCTCTTAGTTGTGAAAGTATGCTCTGAATTGCTCTGAACTTCATTTACATCCAATACAGGTTATTTGCACCCACTTACCAAGGAATAACAAAGAGTAAATCCTATCTTTCAGGTGCAAACCCTCTCTAGCACCACCATGTCCCAAACACCTTTACCAAGAACCTGTGACTGACACACCAGAGTCAAGGCAAACAAGACAGGGGAAGGCGAAGTTCACGTCCCAGCCGGAGACAGACAAGCAAAGTAAGAGATAGTGGTAGGTCCTTTGCAGAGACTTTTGAAAGGAAAATAGAGTAATATGACAAGGCAGTCAGTGAGGGAGAGTCCAGGAGAGTGGGGGTGGCCTGGACCAAGCAGGAGCAGACAGAGACACAGAGATGGAGTGGACAGAGCTGGCAGGTAGAGCACGGGACGGGATGTGGGGTGAGGAGCCCAAGGGCCCTGGATGACCCCCAGGCCTGCACACGGGGATCCTCAAGAGGAAGAGGGTTGGAGAACATAGGGAAGGAGGTACCAGAAGCCCACCCCCAACTAAGGCTGTGCTTGTCGAGGGTACCAGTGACCTGCAAATTGTTAAATCCCAGTCATTTTTGTTCTAGTTGATATTCAGTTCAGTTGGCCATTAGCTTCTCCTGATTTCTAGGACTCTTGCTCTCCCGGTTTCTCCACCACCCACAGGAGTCTTCTTTCCCTATTTCTCTGCTGGTTTCTCCTGCTGAGCTTGCTTTTAAGGTTGTGGTGCCCCCGGCTCTGTCCCAGCGTGGCTCCCTCCTCTGGGTGTCCTCTCAGGGCCCTTGTTCCACGGCACTGGACACCAGCCTTGCTGATTTTGCTGGTGTGTGCCTGCCTCAGCTCCAGTTCCAGCTGCCCAGCTGCCTCCCAGTGTCACCACATGGCATCTTACACTGGCCATGTCCCAAGTGGACCCTGGATTACTATGCCCAGAACAGCTCCTCTCCCATCTTCTTCATTTCAGTAAATGACCTCTGGCCCTCCAGTTGTCTGTGTGGGGGCCCGGCCTACAGCCGAGGCTGAGCCCCACTCTAGCTGGACAATGCCCTAAAGATGGCGCCTGCTTCCTGCTCACCACACTTTCCCCTCTTCCCTGTTGGGGATTGGCCCAGCAGACTTCCGTACCCGTGCACAGCTCA